GTTTCAGCCTCGCAGCTTAAATATTATGCGGTCACAGACAGAGATGTACTGCCAGAATATGCCGATGTGCCTGTAGGTGTAGGTGTTGTCCTTGCCAGACAGGTGGTGTCTGTCTGAATGTGTGTGTTGCTTCGAAGCCAAGGGTTTTTCGTCCGAGAGCCCATCCACTCCTCTGCTTTTGTTGCCCACCGACTGGTGCAGGTCAGTGAGGTTGTTTTTCTCGAATATGGTCAGTGAGGTTGTTGGAGAGGACCGATCTTCGTCGAGCATGATGATCAGAGTGCAGCAATTTTCGCTCAATCTCTCTTGGTGTTTTGTTCGTGCATCCCTGTCGCCCGTACATTGATATGCATGGCTCGGCAGAAAGTGCCGAATTCCGTCATGATTGCCAACTCATATTTTTCGACGAGGACAGCCTACTGGAATTACGGGAGCATCTACAGGATGTTGGTTTGGCACTACAACAAATCCAGAGCTGACATTCAAACTTATTATTTACATGGTTCCAGATCACGAAGTTCACCTGCGGCGGGTTCGTGATGGGCCTGCGGTTCAACCACGCGTCCGCGGACGGCATGGGCGCGGCGCAGTTCATCAAGGCGGTGGGCGACATGGCGCGGGGGCTCCCGGAGCCGTCGGTGAAGCCGGTGTGGGACAGGGAGAAGTTCCCCAACCCGAGCATCAAGCCTGGCCCGCTCCCGGAGCTCCCCGTGCTGGCGCTGGACTACATCGTGCTCGACTTCCCCACGGGCTACATCGACGGGCTCAAGACGCAGTACAAGGCGCACAGCGGCAAGTTCTGCTCCGGCTTCGACGTGCTGACGGCGAAGCTGTGGCAGTGCCGCACCCGGGCGCTGAACCTGGAGCCGGACGCCACGGTGAAGCTCTGCTTCTTCGCCAGCGTGCGCCACCTGCTGAAGCTGGACGCCGGGTACTACGGCAACTCCATCTTCCCCGTGAAGATGTCCGGGAGCAGCAAGAAGGTGCTGGAGTCGTCGGTGATGGAGGTGATCGACATGATCCGGGAGGCAAAGCAGCGGATGGCGGTGGAGTTCTTCCAGTTCGCCAAGGAGGAGACGCGGCAGGATCCCTTCCAGATGAGCTTCGACTACGAGTCCATCTACGTCTCCGACTGGAGCAAGCTGGGGTTCTCCGACGTGGACTACGGCTTCGGCCCGCCCATGTTCGCCGGCCCGCTCGTGAACAACGACTTCATCGCCTCCGTCGTCATCCTCAAGGCGCCGCTGCCGCTGGACGGCACCCGGATGCTCGCCAGCTGCGTCACCAAGGAGCACTCGGAGGAGTTCGCCCGCGGCATGAAGGAGGACCTGCCATGAGCGAGCTCCTTCGCTTTGCTTTGCCAGACGACCGAGAGAACCTTGGCATGCATGCATGCATGCAGGGGGGTGGGGATGGAAGCATCGTGGAGCTCTGCTGATGCGGCTGTTTGGTTGATATATTGTTGCAGATGTTGTTGTATTTGTACCTGTTTTCGTTGTATTTACTTACTTTGTTTCTACATCCATCTTGAGCAGTACGTTACCATTCTTAGAATGTAGACAGCCAATTTGATTTTTTAATCATTTGATACGAGACAATAAAAATGATACATACCTGCATTTGGTTACTTGATTGATGATGGCTTGTATGGTTGCAAAACTCAAGAGGGACCAGAGGCATGGCGCTTTTAGAAAAAATATATTTTGAGTCGTGTATGGTGGGCTTCGTCTCTGCGGGCCATAGGGAAACACTAAAGCCCACAGCAGAAGAAGCCCGATTAAGATGTGTCGGTTCTATGGGTCACCGCGGGCACGCGTCGAGGCTGGGTTTCGTTTAGTCCCACATGGCCAGACGAGAAGAACTTTGATCGCTTTAAATAGGGCTTCAACCGGCCTCATCATCGCCGGGCTTGGTGGCGCTAGCCTGTAACCGTAGATGAACGGGGCAACCAGAATTTGCAAGCCTCACATGGTGCACCGTGTGAGCGCAGCTCTCTGAAATCTCACTAGATTTAAGCAAGCGGACGTATATCCCTGTGGTGTACTGCTCCCGCAGCTTGTCTGGGGACTCTGGATTTAATCCGTGTATCGCTCCCGCAGCTTGTCTAGAAAATTCTTTTTCATTTTTTCATCTATTGAAATTTAGGATGCGTGCACCGATGCATCAGGCATGTGTATTGGGGAATGGGGAGAATATCACGTGATACCAAATTCGAAAAAATCAAATTTAAATCATTCCAAAAATTCCAAAAAATATATGAATGTTTGCAACACATGTGTCTACAAACCCTAAAAAATCCAGATCCAAATTTGATATACACATTGAGAAGCAAAAAAGACAAACCTGTTGTGAATAGTGTAGCTTTTCACACTTTTCATGTTTTTTTCTTTATCGACACTATTTATGCTGAATTTATCACGGAAGCATCTAAGTGATGGTATCATCTGCCATTCTCCCCTGTGTATTGCTCCTGCAGCTCGTCTAGTGATTTTTTTTTCATTTTTTATCTATTGAAATTTATGATGCATTAGAAGTGTAAATATTCTTTTTTATGGTTCCGATATGCGGGGTTTGTTCGGCCGTAACCCGTGCGAGCCTGCAAAACGCGTGTTTTTTCTTCTTCTGAATTTGACACATATCTCATATATTACACAAAATTATGAATTTAAAAAACATAAAATGTGAATATTATGAATCCAAATGACAATAACAATTCAAATCACTGAATAAAACTAATAATTCAATACAACAATTGTCCCGAATACAACAAATGGTACCGACTGTCGGTGGCAAAACCGGCAGATCTCGGGTAGGGGGTCCCGAACTGTGCGTCTAAGGATCGATGGTAACAGGAGACAGGGGACACGATATTTACCCAGGTTCGGGCCCTCTTGATGGAGGTAATACCGTACTTCCTACTTGATTGACTTTGATGAGTATAGGGGTTACAATAGTTGATCTATCACGAGATCGTAATGGCTAAACCCTAGATGTCTAGCCTATATGATTATGATTGTGATTGCCTTTATGGACTAAACCCTCTAGTTTATATAGACACCGAGGGAAATAGGGTTTGTACAGAGTCGATTTACAGAGAAAGAAATCTTCATATCCGCAGGCTAAGCTTGCCTTCCACGCTAAGGAGAGTTCCATCCGAACACGGGGAAAGTCTTTCGTCTTGTATCTCCACGGCCCATTAGTCCGGCCCATATCACTTAGCCCGGACGCCCGAGGATCCCATAATCCTAGACTCCCTCAGTAGCCCCTGAACCAGTCTTCAATGACGATGTGGCCGGCGCGCAGATTGTCTTCGACGTTGCAAGGCGGGTTCCTCCTCCGAACACTTCAAATCAGTTGATTGTCAGTACTATATTTGGCTCTATACAACAGTCATACCTCTGAATTACAAGGGCAGAATACAGATAAGCTCTCTCTTCTGAAGATTTCACTGGTGAGACATTACGTCCGGCCATTTTGTTACTTCAAACCATTTTTTGGCCTCCCGTTTCGCGTTTCGAGACGCAACCACCGACTTGACGTCTTGTCAAAGCAGAGATCGTGCCCCCTTATTACGGGATTTTCATCAATACGGGTTTGGGAAAACTAACCGTGCCGTTTCGCACGACCCCTTGGAAATAGGCGAGCTTGAAGACTCATGGGGGACACATGATATTCACTGCCTTTATGAGGAGATAAGATTCCCCCTTTTTACCCCACGCCTTCCCCTTCCTTAGCCCATCCGCCCTCAAGCTCCAGCGCCCAAGCTTCAATCCTCTTCGTTCCCAGAAAGTACTCCAGCCATGTCCGGATCCGGAGCGCAGGGCAAGTGGATGGCTTCCTCCGTCACGGAGAAAAACATCAAGGAACTCCGGGAAGCGGGGTACCTGACCAAGGAGATCGCCCACCGGCTTCCAGCCAAAAAGCAGATCATCCCCACTCTAAAGCCCGGCGAGAGGGTAGTGTTTATCCCTCATTGTCTTCGCGGACTGGGGTTTCCCCTTCATCCTTTAGTCCGTGGCCTCATGTTTTACTACGGGCTAGATTTCCATAATCTAGCCCCAAATTCTTTCCTCAACATTTCGGCGTTTGTCGTCGTATGCGAGGCATTCCTTCACATTTCCCCCCACTTCGGTCTATGACTCAAGGTCTTCAATGTGAAGCCAAAAGTGGTGGATAGCCAGCAGGGCGGATTGCGGTGGCGCTATGGTGAGCAAACTTCCCAACGTCACTTGGCCCCAGGGCACCTTCGTGGAGACCGTGAAGGGATGGCAGCAGGGGTGGTTCTATGTCACAGAGCCCCGTGACTCCACATGGGCTGCTCCTGCGGAGTTCAAGTCCGGACCCCAATGCGGCTGGCATCCTGGCTCAACAAGGGCCTGGACTGGGCGTCGTCTGACGAGGTAACGGTGCTGCAAAAGCGCATCAAGAGCATGGTAGATAAAAATACCAGCCTCGCCAGCGTGATCCAGGTGATGCTCTTCCGTCGAATTCTTCCTTGTCAGGCATGTCAAGAGCCCATGTGGAAGTTCAACCCGGTCGGTCCCCGGACCCTGCAGCGGTTCTTCGGCACGAAGCATGAAGACATGTGGAAGTTGCTCTTCAAGACCAAGAAGTCATGTCCGGAGGCAACCGAAGACCTCGGCTACAACAGCATCCACGATGCGACCCCCGTAAGTTCTTTGATAACCTTACTTTGCGAACCCAAGGAGCACACTAAACCCTTCATTTATTTTTGTAGGGCTGGAAGAAGAAAGCGGACCGGATTCACTGTCCGGCTCCGCTGTCCGAAGACCCAGCTATTCCTCTATTGACGAGGGTGCTGGTCCCGGCGCCGAAAAAGAAAGCCAAGGGGAAGGGCAAGGAGGCCAAGAGCGGCCTCCGCCGTAAGAGTGCTTCGGACGTAGTGTCCGAGGACATCGGAACCCTCTCCTCCCCTGACGAAGAGGAAGAGGAGGAGGAAGAGAGCAACTCCCCCCTAAGGGGGAGAAGAAGAAAAAGGCAGCCTCCGTCGATCTAGAGGCGGAGGCGTCCAAGAAAGGGAGGACGTCCCTTACGGATGACTCCGAATCGGACGCCGATGAGTGGCACCCCAGGGCAAAGCCCCTGGCCGGATCATAAGTACTCAAAGGTATGTATATGTCTGGCTTTTCTGGCTTATAGTTGTAATGCATTTAAATTGTATGCTGCAGTCCCTTACGTAGTCATGCAGGCAATTTTCTTTGTTCAGAGTTCCTTATGCTTGTCAAGATCTGCAAGCATTTCTTCTCTAAATATGCTTCTTGCTTACTTGAGCAATTTTAGTTTTCTGAATCTGCAACTCCTCCTGAAGGTTGGAAACACATTTAGTTTGTGATAGTTAATCATGCTACCAATTTATTTGTTTCAATTCTCCTCTTTCTAGCAAACAACAGCAAGGTTACGTCTGAATATGCAAGATGCTAAATGCAGATGTCCAGAATCAACCAGAAGCTAACATGAAGACTGATTAAAGAAAGAGGTGGTGGGGGATCATCTATTACCTTGCAAATTCGTGAAGCAAGTTCTTCTCCAGGTTTATATCTTCTCGGTTTTGATTTTCTTCCAGACAGATCTATCATTCTAAAATGATATGACGACTCATCCATTTTTTGGGGATTTGTTCTGCTGTTGTGGATCTAAGGGCGTTTGGAGGAGAAGGACTTTGCAAGGAAGAAATTTAGCACAAGATCTATAGAGAGGTCAGAAGAGATCAGCACATCTCATGTTTCAGCGTCCATGGCGGCAGCTGAGTGTTTGCGGTGTCGGGGATGAAAGAGGAGGAAGAAGACCTAGTGGCTCTGCGCGTTAGGTGGATTCTGTGTAGTGGGTCTGTCTCTTAGCGGGTTCATGCCCATTTTAGTTTTGGGCTGAAGACTGAAGGCAGAAATATAAAGTTAGAACTCTTTTTTCAGCCCGTTTGACTGCTGGCCTTTTTCGACTGACCACAACTTTGGGTCAGTCAATTTGTTCTGAATAGTTATGTTTCCTTACCTTCTACAAATCGACTGATCCCTTTCTTGAGTCAGTCGATTGATCTGTAGCCGCTCCCGTTTTGAGAAGTCAGCGGAGTACTTTATGATGATGATTAGATTGCAGCGCATTTTTCGCTCATTCTCTCTTGGTGCTTTGTTCGTGCATCCCTGTCACCCGTACCTTGAGATGCATGGCTCGGCAGAAAGTGCCGAATTCCATCATGATTGCCAATTCATATTTCTCGATGAGGACAGCCTACTGAAATTACGGGAGCATCTACAGGATATTAGTTAGTACTCCTACTAATCAAACTAACTTATTACATGGTTTCAGATCACGAAATTCACTTGCGGCGGGTTCGTGATGGGCCTGCGGTTCAACCACGCGTCGGCGGACGGCATGGGCGCGGCGCAGTTCATCAAGGCGGTGGGTGACATGGCGCGGGGGCTCCCGGAGCCGGCGGTGAAGCCGGTGTGGGACAGGGAGAAGTTCCCCAACCCGAGCATCAAGCCTGGCCCGCTCTGAAAATATAAAATAGCACAGCTGCACCGGGGCCCTCTCAATCTAGCCATCCATTCTACGCATCGCGATTCGTGCGAACACATTTTTCTTTTTTGTTTCTCTCACATAAAACATATTTTGAAGTTCAAACCTTTGCAGCGTAGCAAAGTTTTCTATCTAGAATCTAGGATAAATCTTATAGATTTTTTTGTCAAATATAAATATACAAAAACGATTTTTAATGTAAAAAATCATTTTTTGTATATTTATGTTTGACAAAAAATTATGAAAGATTTATCCTAGATTCTAGATGAAAAGCTTTGCCACGCTGCAAAGGTTTGAACTTCAAGACATCTTTTATGTGAGAGAAACAAAAAAGAGAAATTTTCATACGAAAAGTTAGTTGTGTTGCACAGATCTTAAAGCAATATTGGACAACCAGGATACAAGGGCCGGGTGCAGCTGTTCTAAAAATCCACGTCCTGGCCCGCTCCCGGAGCTCCCCGTGCTGGCGCTGGACTACATCGTGCTCGACTTCCCCACGGGCTACATCGACGGGCTCAAGACGCAGTGCAAGGCGCACAGCGGCAAGTTCTGCTCCGGCTTCGACGTGCTGACGGCCAAGCTGTGGCAGTGCCGCACCCGGGCGCTGAACCTGGAGCCGGAGGCCACGGTGAAGCTCTGCTTCTTCGCCAGCGTGCGCCACCTGCTGAAGCTGGACGCCGGGTACTACGGCAACTCCATCTTCCCCGTGAAGATGTCCGGGAGCAGCAAGAAGGTGCTGGAGTCGTCGGTGATGGAGGTGATCGACATGATCCGGGAGGCGAAGCAGCGGATGGCGGTGGAGTTCTTCCAGTTCGCCAAGGAGGAGACGCGGCAGGATCCCTTCCAGATGAGCTTCGACTACGAGTCCATCTACGTCTCTGACTGGAGCAAGCTGGGGTTCTCCGACGTGGACTACGGCTTCGGCCCGCCCATGTTCGCCGGCCCGCTCGTGAACAACGACTTCATCGCCTCCGTCGTCATCCTCAAGGCGCCGCTGCCGCTGGACGGCACCCGGATGCTCGCCAGCTGCGTCACCAAGGAGCACTCGGAGGAGTTTGCCCGCGGCATGAAGGAGGACCTGCCATGAGCGAGCTCCTTCGCTTTGCTTTGCTAGACGACCGAGAGAACCTTGGCATGCATGCATGCAGGGGGGTGGGGATGGAAGCATCGTGGAGCTCTGCTGATGCGGCTGTTTGGTTGATATATTGTTGCTGATGTTGTTGTATTTGTACCTGTTTTCGTTGTATTTACTTACTTTGTTTCTACATCCATCTTGAGCAGTACGTTACCATTCTTAGAATGTAGACAGCCAATTTGATTTTTTAATCATTTGATACGAGACAATAAAAATGATACATACCTGCATTTGGTTACTTGATTGATGATGGCTTGTATGGTTGCAAAACTCAAGAGGGACCAGAGGCATGGCGCTTTTAGAAAAAATATATTTTGAGTCATGTATGGTGGGCTTCGTCTCTGCGGGCCATAGGGAAACACTAAAGCCCACAGCACAAGAAGCCCGATTAAGATGTGTCGGTTCTATGGGTCACCGCGGTTGTCTCAAAAAAAAAAAAAATGGGTCACCGCGGGCACGCGTCGAGGCTGGGTTTCGTTTAGTCCCACATGGCCAGACCAGAAGAACTTTGATCGCTTTAAATAGGGCTTTAACCGGCCTCATCATCGCCGGGCTTGGTGGCGCTAGCCTGTTACCGTAGATGAACGGGGCAACCAAAATTTGCAAGCCTCACATGGTGCACCGTGTGAGTGCAGCTCTCTGAAATCTCACTAGATTTAAGCAAGCGGACGTATATCCCTGTGGTGTACTGCTCCCGCAGCTTGTCTGGGGACTTTGGATTTAATTAAGCAAGCGGACCACTATCCCTGTACCGCTCCCGCAGCTTGTCTAGAAAATTCTTTTTCATTTTTTCATCTATTGAAATTTAGGATGCGTGCACCGATGCATCAGGCATGTGTATTGGGGAACGGGGAGAATATCACGTGATATCAAATTTGAAAAAATCAAATTTAAATCATTACAAAAAATATATGAAGGTTTGCAACACATGTGTCTACAAACCCTAAACAATCCAGATCCAAATTTGATATACACATTGAGAAGCAAAAAAGACAAACCTATTGTGAATAGTGTAGCTTTTCACACTTTTCATGTTTTTTTCTTTATCGACACTATTCATGCTGAATTTATCACGGAAGCATCTAAGTGATGGTATCATCTGCCATTCTCCCCTGTGTATTGCTCCTGCAGCTCGTCTAGTGATTTTTTTTTTCATTTTTTATCTATTGAAATTTATGATGCAGTAGAAGTGTAAATATTCTTTTTTATGGTTCCAATATGCGGGGTTTGTTCGGCCGTAACCCGTGCGAGCCCGCAAAACGCGTGTTTTTTCTTCTTCTGAATTTGACACATATCTCATATATTACACAAAATTAGGAATTTAAAAAACATAAAATGTGAATATTATGAATCCAAATGACAATAACAATTCAAATCACTGAATAAAACTAATAATTCAATACAACAATTGTCCCGAATACAACAAATGGTACCGACTGTCGGTGGCAAAACCGGCAGATCTCGGGTAGGGTGTCCCGAACTGTGCGTCTAAGGATCGATGGTAACAGGAGACAGGGGACACGATGTTTACCCAGGTTCGGGCCCTCTTGATGGAGGTAATACCCTACTTCCTACTTGATTGACTTTGATGAGTATAGGGGTTACAATAGTTGATCTATCACGAGATCGTAATGGCTAAACCCTAGATGTCTAGCCTATATGATTATGATTGTGATTGCCTCTATGGACTAAACCCTCTAGTTTATATAGACACTGGAGGGGACTAGGGTTTGTACAGAGTCGACTTACAGAGAAATAAATCTTCATATCCGCACGCTAAGCTTGCCTTCCACGCTAAGGAGAGTTCCATCCGAACACGGGGAAAGTCTTTCGTCTTGTATCTCCATGGCCCATTAGTCTGACCCATATCACTTAGCCCGGATGCCCGAGGAGCCCATAATCCTAGACTCCCTTAGTAGCCCCTGAACCAGTCTTCAATGATGATGTGTCCGGCGCGCAGATTGTCTTCAACGTTGCAAGGCGGGTTCCTCCTCCGAATACTTCAAATCAGTTGATCGTCAGTACTATATTTGGCTCTGTACAACAGTCATACCTCTGAATTACAAGGGCAGAATACAGATAAGCTCTGTCTTCTGAAGATTTCACTGGTGAGACATTACGTCCGGCCATTTTATTACTTCAAACCATTTCTTGTTGGTTTAGTGATTCTCTCGTGTTTCCCCTTGTGTTTCCCCTCGTGTTTACCCTCGTGTTCTTCGTGTTCATCGCGGGATCCACTCCTTTCGTGAAAGATCGGCCCCTAGGGTTCCCACCCTACATCATCTTGGTATATAGAGCCATGTTGATCACGATTTCGGATTCTCCCTATTGTGTTTCTAGCCTTGTTTTTGTTGATTTTGTCCCTAATTCAAAAATTCCCCACAAAAATAGCCCCAATTTTTTTGTGATTTGTTGGTGTGATGTGTTGGATTTGATCCATGGATTTCATGTGTTGCAGGTAGATCTAGCTTTCAATCCACTTTTCCCCAATTTCCGTTCACAAATTCCTTCAAATTTTGCCCGGATTTGCCACCTTCCACGCGGAGTTCGTCCGGATCTAGAGCTCGGACATCCGGCCCGATAGCCCGGACATCCGGCCATCAAGCCCGGACATCCGGCCCCTGGCAGCAACATCTCCATCCACCGCCCTATTTTCCGTCCATATTTCGCCAAATATTGTTCCGGTACCCACATACACTTCCGCATACCACCACCACTTCCGCATAGCACCGCCATATACCACATACACAACCATCACATACCACTACCAACTACGACAATTTTGTCACTTTTTGCCTTGAGAATTTGAGTTGCGGTTACGTGTCCTATTTGTGTTTCGGCTATTTAGGTACGGTTCGACATCAACATCACCGCCGCTCATCTTCGCCACGAACGCGTCATCGACAACAACCAATAAACCATTTTGACACCATACCGTAAGCAAGAAGCGGTAACCTCATCTTGATATTGGATACATCATTCTTGCCATTACATTGATAGCCATCATAGCCTTACTCTTTTGCGTCGCTTACCCATCGAGACTAGCCTTTGAGTATTGCCGGGAACGTGACTTGTGCACATTAGTGATCATACTTCTCATAGCATACATACATCTCATGGGTGCATATCTTGGTATCATCTTTTGTGTCACAAGGTTGTCATTGCATGCACAATTGCTATCTTGGTCCGTGAAGTATTGCATGAGAAAAGAGCTCAAACACGAAGAGCCAAACAAGCTTTTAAGCACAAGGGAAAGATAAGCAAAGAGCTTTTAAGCAAGAACCATAGCATCATACAACATTAAGATTGTCATACTAGATCATCTTGGATCATATCATCGAAACACCATACATAGAGCATACTTGGGATAGAAGTCATTGCATTTTTGCTTAGTAGTTTGTGCACAAGTCTTTCGTATCTGCCTATTGTGCAATCGTGCTAGCGTCTCTCTAGTGTTGTGCAACACGAGCATTTTTGTGGATTTCACATTTTGGCTCATCCTTGGTTGCACGACCCCATTTATCTCTTTGCGCGTGTGTTTCCGTGTACCTTATATTTCTTGGTCTACTTGTTGCATTGCAAACTTGCGAATCTTTTCCAACATTATTGAATCTCACTAACAATTGCATCAAATTTTGTGCCACCATCCTAACCAAGCTCCACCATAAGCTTTTACTTGTGTAGGTGTGAGAGACCGACAAGAATTGGTACCAATTGTGCTATTTCCTTGTTCCACATTGGACTGATCTTTGATCCACCTTCAACTTCGGTCAAGGTACATTTGGTATACGTTCTTCTCTTTCTACCACTCACATATTTCTCTTAGAATGATGGATAGGCCAAGTACTTCTACCAACCCACTTTTCATCGGGCAAGACGATGACATGAACTCCTACGTCATAAAGAGCCACCTCTTTGGTGCACAACGTGCTTTGCATCAAGAGAAACAAGCAATGAGTGAACGCATCGACAACCTCGCCACTGACTTGCGACTCTCCGAGCAACGTACAAGAGACTACTTCGACCACAAGCTTGACAATCACAAGCAAGAGAACAATGCAAGAATGGACGAGATTCGTGCTTTGTTGCTCAACCGCTCTTCTTCCACTTCGTCCTCATCAAGACAGACCCGCTCAAGTCGACACTCCGACTTCACCCTCTCCGGCTCAAGTACACCGACATCAAACACTCTTCGCCGTGCCACGTGCAACGATCGTCAAGCAAGCCTCAATCCTCTACATGACACCGACTCTCAAGAGCACCGACACCGTCAAAACCAAGCTACCTTTGCGCAAGCACGAGAACGGCAACAACTACGCCAACACGGAGAGGAAGAGCGAGCACGCCTTCACCAAGAAGCACAAGATGCCGAGGCACAACGTCACGAGTAACAATTGCGATATGCTCAAGCATTTGAGGCGTAACAAGCCCTCTGAGAATCAAGGAGAGCCGTAGCCAACCGAGGTCGGCAAGCTCGTGAACATGAAGAAGCAGTTCACGAAGAAGTTCACGAATGACGATATCAAGCTCGCGTGCAATGTCAAGCTCGACAAGTTCCTCCACAAGCTCGCCAACAACATCAAGTTCACCAAGAGCATGAAGACAATGGAAATCATCCACAACAAGAGAAACATGTGGTCGACAACCCTCCTCGCCAAGAGCAACACGAGTTTGACAATCCTCAACAACATGGGCGTCATCATCCCCGACCCCAACACAATGAAGAGCAATGCTACGGCAAGCTAAAGTTCACCATGCCCAAGTTCAATGGAAGAAACGATCCCGAAGAGTACCTTTCATGGGCATTGAAGGTCGACAAAATCTTCCGCTTGCACAACTATGAAGAAGAGAAGAAGATCGCGATGGCACCCCTTGAGTTCGAAGACTATTTCCTCATTTGGTGGGAACAAGTCATCGAGCGCCATGAGGCAAAAGGTGAACCACCCATCACT